CAATTATTTAATAATAATATATATATATATATATTTTAAAAAGAATCAAAATAAAGTTAAATAGAAAAAGTCTGATTGAAGGTTTCTCCACCCCCGTTTTGCACGGCACAATCGAAGCTCGAAGCTGACTTCAGTATAACGTTATTAAGAACGTTTCCACTTCAACAAGTCAATGTTTGAAATTACTCAGAAAAGTAAGTAGAATGTTTAATAATATTACTGAACAGAATGTTGAATAATGTTTAATGTATAAAGCATTTTTATTTTTCTAACATGCAAAAATATTTTACAGTTTGTGAGGACAGGAACCATCTATCTTAAGTAACTAATCTTAGTTTTCATATTAATTCTATGTCTGATATTATATTTAGTTATTATTTTTGTATTGTAGTCTTTATTAAAGTGCAATTTAAAAGATATTGTAGACCTGTAAATTTCCACTGTCGTCTGTCCGGCTGTCATTCCTAAGTCTCGACAACGGAGTTAGAAATAAGAAAATCGAGATCATATACAGCAGTCTTGAGAAGATTGGCGGCAGGAGATCCCGATTCACTATACAAGAATATACACGGTAAATTTCGTTATTTCAATTAAAACATCTCCCTTGAAAGGTGTTAGATAGATGACGTCACGAACTCAAGTCTTGAAGGAGAAGCAATTACAAGGACAAGCCACAATTAATACATTAATAAATGAGGTAAGAATACATTTTTAATTAAATTAATTAAAAATACTATAAAATATTGCAGTCCGGCATTTTGACGATGTCACAATAAATAATTGCTCGTTAACATGTTTAATTTTTATTCAGAAAGTCTAGAAATATGAAAGAAGACGAAGAAATTTAAGGATTTACTAAAATAATTATATTAGTTGTGAGGCTTATTTTTATTTGATTAAGCATTTCGAATTTATTAACAATATTTTGTACATAAATGTTTAATTAAGATTAATAAAACATAAGCCTTATATATAATTAGGTGAGTAGATTTTTTTAGTAAATGAACATAGAAATAATGGAAACATCTGGGACAATTGTTGTAGGCCTATGCCACGTCATCAACAAAATGGCTTCATACAAAGGTAATTAACAATTATGTTTTATAAATGAGAATAAAATAAAATATTTAAGTAAATTACAATAAAAATATCGTACTTTAATGTAGATAATATAAATATTTTAATTGTTTTGGTCCTTTAAACGCAGACACTTCATTTAAGTGTCTGTATTTAAATTATGAGTTCGAATACCTTCAAATTTCAAAAATTTTTGGAAAATACATTTAAAAATATGTTTTATAAGCAATAAATATATAAAATACGATATAAACGTATGTACATTTTAAAAATATGGAACATAAATGAAAACAAGTTATTACGAGTTTTTAGTACTAAAATAATTTTAGGCAAAATTCATTGATACTGGTATTTCGGGCATAATTTATATTTTAATAATATAATTAAAATATAAAAAATTGCATTTATTCGAATGACTAAATTAAACATGATGATTATTTGCCACGCAAAGTACATTTACGAAACTTGAAAATCTGTGAAAACAGTTGTTAACAAACACCTGTTGTTTACTGTCTGAAAACGTTGGAAAACTCAGACAAAAATCAGATTTAAAATAATTTTTAAAATTGCATTTATTCGAATGATTAAACACGATGATTATTTTCCACGCAAAGTACATTTACGAAACTTGAAAATCTGTGAAAACAGTTGTTAACAAACACCTGTTGTTACTGTCTGAAAACGTTGGAAAGCTCAGACTGAAAAATCAGATTTAAAATAATTTTTAAATTCGATTATATTTGTTTAAATATTATTTTAATTAGAGTAAAATTGAATTTACTAATTTTTTAATTGATTTAAAATTTCAGAAAAATTAACAAATCTAATGTACGAGATTATAAATTTAAAATATTTCAAATTCAATAATATGAAATATAAAATAAATCCTAACAAATTCGTAATTGTATAATTGTAAATATAAACTCTTATATATTAATTAATAAACATATACTGTAATTAGTTTTAAATAAAGAGATTTTATTTTCTAAACTGATTAGGCAAGATTTAAAGTGTAAAACATCATCGTACGGACCAACGTAGAGGTGACGATGTTATACAAAGCAATTAAGTTATTAACGACACGAAAATTATTTTTTCTGGTAAAAATTTAATAAAGCACACTTTAGAGATTTATCAGTAATTTTTTATACTAATTAAAACTTGATTGCTTTATTATATTCACATCAGTTAAATTCGACAACTAACACTTATATTTATTACATACCTAAATTGAAAACAATCACTTTATTAATTAATTATGTGATAGAGATGGAAGGAGCGCTTGCAGTTATGGTGTACTTTATTCTCTCACTATGACATTGTCTCTTTCACTTTTGACCTTTTGACAAAATACATTAAGTTCACAACTATGCTTGTGAACATCACGAAAAAAGAAAAGACAATAAAAGTAAAGAAGTGAGGATTCACACCACAGAATGTCGTCGTTATTGTTATTAATTAACAATAAATATTTATATTATAAATAAACCTAATAATTCTTTATAATAATAGTATATTGAATAAGAAAACAGCACAGAATATACTTACTTCTCGACTCTTCATTCTTTTTGAATGTATATTTTAATATTTCTAATCTCCTTTCTATATGGTCCTTTCCAATGTCCTTTCTATATGGTATAACTTATAAGTTGTAAGTTTCGGGATAGCTGGAGAATTTGGTATGCATTTTTGGCTAATATGTTTTTAAATAATTACAAGCAGACCATGCAGTTCTCGTTCTCTGCTTGTATTTTCTGCATAATTCCTCAAACTTTCTTTTAATACTTGCCACCAGTCACTAAGTAGAGAAAACCAATAAGCAATGGCAGTTAGCAATAGTATGTACAGTACCTGATCGATGAAAGACCATGTAATAATTTTTGGATATTCTTCACGTGCATAGTACCCAAATAGAAATTTCTCTGCTAGAGGGAACCGCTTGGAAAACNAAAAATGCAGTTTCAACTGCTTTTTATTTTATAAAATCCGTCTTCTTGAGCCGCCAGAGGGCCTGTTAAACAATAGCTAGTCTGTTAGCGCTGGTCAGTAGTAGTCCAAATTCAATAAAACATTTGTTTCTTGAGAATTTGATCACGATTTAAATACAGTATTTATTTTTAATATTACCGATATGTCATCGAAAAGAAAACGTGTTGTATTATCATTAAAAGACAAATTAAAGTATATGTTTCGATTATCCGGATTTTTCCTTATCCGGACTACCTTCGCCCCGAATAAGTCCGGATAATCGAGGTTCTACTGTAGTTGTTCCTGGTGATTAGACATTACAAGTAAACTTGGACTCGTATCCAGATGAATTTTATGTTTTATTAAACTGTTTTTATTTTCTAAACTGATTAGGCAAGTTTCAAAGTATAACACGTCATCATACCAACGGATATAGAGGTGACGATGTTATATAAAGAAATTAAGTTATTAACGACACGAAAAAATATCTTTACTGGTAATAATTTAATAAAGAACACTTTAAAATTTATTACTAATTTTTTTTTATTTTCATTAAAACTTGATTGCTTTATATTCACATCAGTTAAATTCGACACGTAACACAGGTAAGTACACTTATATTTATTACATATTTAAATTGAAAATAATCACTTTATTAATTAATTATGTGATAGAAATGGAAGGAGCGAGTGCAGTTATCGTGTACTTTATTCTCTCACTATGACATTGTCTCTTTCACTTTTGACGTTTTGACAAAATACATTAAGTTCACAACTGTGTTTGTGAACATCACTAAAATGAAAAGACAATAAAAGTAAAGGGGTGAGGATTCATACCCCAGAATGTCTTCGTTATGGTTATTAAGATGTAATAGTCAATTTAAAATTTGATGCAATTATATGTTGGAAACTTTTATAAACTAGCCACATATTTAAAATTACACTTTCCTTTTAAGATACAGTAGAGTCTCGAAAACTCGGCCTAATGTGGACCGAAGGGTGGCCGAGTTTGTGAAAATACCGGGTTATCGGGAATGGGGTTAAAAAAAATAAGTACGAGTGTAGTGTTTCCTCAGAAAATACTGTAATGTACTTGTATGTATTTGTTTACTTGAGAATACAACAGAGAATAAACTGCCCAAATACCGTTAAACAAAGGAAAAATACGTCCTCTATGAAGGCATAGAGCCTTTACTACATGTAAATGAAAATTAATGAATACACTGTGTACAGTTATTTACCTGATAAGACAGACCCCAGAAAAATACTTTATGAGGCATAAAGCTGTCTATAATGAAAATTAATTAACTAAGGATTTTTTTGGCCTGCCAGAGTGTGGCCGAGTTATCCGGACTGCCGGATTATCGAGAGCCGAGTTTTCGAGGCTCTACTGTAACACAATTGAAATTTCATAGATATGATAGCAGATTAGCTTTGGCGTTGCTCGGTAAAAGAATAACAGCAAACGTTAAGATTACTTTTAATTTTTGTATTATATTATATTACAGTATTTGCTTTGTATAACTAGAAAGGTACAAAATTCAATCAATTCTGTACTGTAGAAAAATAAAAAAAATTTTAAATGTCTTAGATTGGTCACTCGGTGTAGTAAATCCATAAGCAAGACAACCTTTGTAGTTATGTAAATCAAATACTAATCGTTAAAACGAAAACCATATAAGAACTTTGGTGATTTTAGCCTACCATTGTCACGTTTATTGCGATACTCAGATGATACGAAAAGGCACAAAGTTAATGGTCAAGTAGGTAGCAATTGAAAATATATATTAAACTTTTCAGATATTATAATTTTTCCTAATGTTAACTGTAAGAAACTGTACTTTTCACAGCCGAATATCAAACGGTAATCGGCCAACGAATGAAATTTCGTTTGCTGGTTACCGAATTAACCCAATTAAATCATATTTTGTTCCCGCCGGTAACCTCGTATTATGTAATTTTTCTATTCGAATGTCACCATACTGCTGGTCCGACTGAAAGAACGGATTGTTGCGGAAGGAAGTCGAAATAATTCCACCAAAAGTAGTCGTTGACCCCCCCCTCCTGATAGTGTGGATGGTCAACGACTACTAATTAATACCGGTCTACTATTATTATTTCAAAAGTGATCCGTCTTACACACGTTGCGAAGGCCCCGCATGTGAAGTTTCTAACGTTAAAGTTCGAAAGACTTAATATGACTTGTTTAAATAAAAGAAATCTTGTAAAAATGCTAGAATAATTGCTTTTGTGCGATGATTAAGTGTTTAATTAAATTTTGCAACAGATTGTATAAACCACGTGAAAAGTATGACGTATAATGCAAGACCACCACTAAAAGAATTGAGAACATTGTAACGAAAAGTTGTAGCCCGGCTTTGTGACGATGACATAATAATCAATCACTGGTTAGAATTAGTTTGGTTTATTTGGTTACGGGAACGCGACACGTGAGCAATGTGCCCAGGAAGATGCATTCAGTGAAGAATTTTATGGGAATGTGGACTATATTTAAGCGTCGGTCATGCTCAAACACACGACTAACTACCAGAGTTCGTGGTTTTATGCACTGATCTACCGGAGGGCGCTTATTAGAATTAAGAAAGAACCGTTCAGAAATGAAAAAAACCCGAGTCATTAGATGTGGATTTTTAAAAATTATATCCTTTTTGTAAAACTTATATTTACTTTTGTTAACGTTTTCCAATAGATGACGCTAGTATGAAAAAGCAATTCAAATATAGATAGAAATTAATTGATTTATAAAAATCCAATAGAAACGATATTATCCAAGTTAGAAGTATTTGAAGCAACTGCTGATTTTCGTAGCAATTGGTCGAACGGCTTACGAGTGTATAGCCAACAAACATACTCATTTATATATTCAGATAATACCAGAATGATTATTATTATTATTTTGTAGTTTTTTTAAAAGATTTTCTGAATTTTTTTTGCTCGAAATCCTCAAGTTGCCATACTCATTAAAACTAAATATTACATTTTTGTAAATTATACTATTAATTACTTGTTTTATTAAACTACATTTACACTTAATAAACTATTAAATTCACTAATGATATTTTTTATATATATTTTTAACTCCCAACACAAAGAAAACTTTAAAACGTTAGGTCTTATAATTAACGTAAAATAAAACTTTATAAATAACAATATTGTATTGTAATATTTATAATAATTTATCTCTTAAATAATCTCAAAAAATATGGCTTACGTTTAGCGCACTTTCTTCCAGTAAATTCCGGCTGACACTTGCATTCGTAGCGAGGAAAAGAAGGAACACAAATTCCGTCATTTAAACACGGATTCTTACGGCACTGATTATTTATTTCGCAACGTCTTCCGTCAAATCCCTTCAAACAAACACATCTTTCGCTTCTTCCAACAACAATGCACGTTCCTCCGTTTTTACAATCATTCCGGAAACACGTTAATTTCTTCTCACAAAGGTTCCCGGTATATCCAGGTGGACAACAACACGAATATTTCTAGAAATAAATGGTTATAATTAGTAACAACTACTGTATTTATATACATTATAGTTCAGATGTGATATTCCATTAGTTTCCACAGAAAGATTACCTGTATTTTATCAATACAGGTTCCGGCATTTTGGCATTGGTGGAATTCACAATCGTCTATGTTTTCTTCACAGTATTCACCTCGAAATCCTGCTGTGCACAGACATTTGGGAATGCGTAATCTTGTACTCGTATAACATGTTCCACCATTTAAGCACTTGGCTAGTAAAGAAATAATTCGTATATTTCCATCAACCATTACGAATGTTTTAAAAATTGTGTAAATATATTCATACACTTCCTGCATGCGTTATATATTTCACAAAATTTTCCCGAAAATCCAGCTTTACAAACGCATCTGAAAGTTCCATTTTCTGAAGCACAGTATCCTTTGTTCCAGCATTTGAGAGGACAATTATTTACTGGCCTTGCGAATCTCCATATAGAGCAATTGCGCCCGCGAAATTGAG